AAAGTATGAGGTAACACGGAGTACTGATATAAGCATTAAACTAAAAACACCAGAAAAGCTAGGTTCTTGTCTCAACTGTGCATCTAACTTACTAGTAACTTTTTTATCTCTGGTCCTATTTCTTTGCCTATGAAATTAAAAAGCTTAACTAGATAAACTAGATAAATTCTACAAAGCACTCCTAGCACAAAATTAGCAAATCTCAGAGTTGGAAGGGACTTCAGAGGTCATGTAATGAAAATCTTATATAACCAAAATACCTTCTACAACATTCCAACAGGTGGTCATTCAATTTCTGCTTGAAAACCTGTGAGAAAGAACCAAATCAGGTTGTTCTATTTTTGTACTAGTTATTATTAAATTTTTCCTTGCAAAATCTAAATCTACCTATCTGTAACTTCTAGCCAGTGCTCCTAGTTCTGCCCTCTGACATCAAACAGAACATCTTAATCTCTTTTCTATTTAAAAAAAAAAAATCCTGGGGACAGTTAGGTGGCACAGTAGATAGAGCACTGGCCCTGGAGTCATGAGGACCTGAGTTCATATCCAGCATCGGACACTTGACACTTACTAGCTGTGTGACCCTGGGCAAGTCACTTAACCCCCATTGCCTAGCAAAAACAAAAACAAAAACCAAAAAAATATCTCGAATGTCTTGAAGACTGCTATCATCTTCACCCTGCCATCTTACCATCTCTCTCTATCCACCCCAAGCTAAATATTCCATATTGCTTTTAATAAATTTTCATATTGCACATTCTCAGCCCCTCAACCCTTACCATCCTGGTCTCCTTATTCCACATATTCTACAGCTTATCAGTGTCTTTTCCACAATGTGGTATCCCTAAGTAAACACGACATTTTAAATGTGGTCTGCCCAGGGCAGTGGACAGCAGGACTTTCATCTCCCTTGTTCAAGAGACTATGCTTCTCATAAAACAGCATTAGCTAAGTGAGTATTAGCTTTTTTAGTGGCCATGTCACATTGCTGAGTAACAAAAATATCCAGATCTTTTTCACTGGAACTGCCTATCTACCTTTATCTTTCTCATATTGGATTGACATTTTTAGACTCAAAGTATAGAACTCCACATTTATTTCTCTTTTATTTTATCTTCTTAGATTAAAATATTTGTTCTAGCCTGCAGAGAGCTTTCTGGATCCTGACTATCATCTAACATGTTAGATAATCTTCTCAGCTTTGTGTCATCTTTCCCTTAATTGAGTAATCAATCAATAAGGATTTATGAAACACCTACTGTTTGCCACATGAGAGGCAATGTGGCCTAGTAGAGAGGGGGGAGTCTTCAAAATCAAAAAGATCTGGGTTCAAGTCCTGCCTCTGATGTACACAGGCTGTGAGCCTGAGTAAGTCACTTAACCTGTCACTGTCCCCTCATAATTCTCTGAGATTATAAATCACAGAGGAGATACCTATCTAAACTGCAAATTACATTGGGTCTAGTGACTGAGTTCCAAATCTACCCAACTGTTCAATACTCCACATCTTTCCATCTTGTCCAGAAAAATAGCATGTTTATCATCAACAACATTTATGTGCCAGGTACTGTGTTAAGTGGTTTTACAAATTTACCAGTGCCTTCCCATCCAAATTACTTGGTATATCTTTTGTACTTATTTTTTCACACAAATGCTATTTATTTGCCCAAGAGAACCTAAACTTTTTCAGGGCAGGAGATATTTCATTTTTGTCTTCGAGTCCTAGCAGATACCCAGTGCCTGGCACATGGAAGATAATAAAATATTAATAGTAACAAATAATAATAACTATATATCTACATATAACCATATATAGATATACATATAATAAATATTAATAACAAATGCTTGATGAACGCACATGGTTTTGAGGAAGGGACCTATGATGCAAATTTTGTTCTCAATTGATGAAATCTATTAGAAACCAAATAAATGCCCATCAATCAGGCAAAGGCTGAACAAATTGTGGTACACGAATGTAAAGGAATATTATTATCCTGTCAGAAATAATGTGTGTGATAAATACAGAAAAGCATGGAAAGATCTTTATGAACTGATGCAGAATGAAGTAACCAGAGCCAAGAAAACAATACTAAAATGTAACTATAAACTATATATATATAACTATAAATATAACTATAAATGTAACTATAACAATGTGAATGAAAAGAACAATGACACTAAAAAAAGGTAAATGTAACAAAATTATAATTATCAAGTGGGACTTGAACGAAGAGCTACCCATACAGGACAGTACTCTGGAAGAGGAGGGGGAGTACATGCAATGCTCTGATGATGTAAGAAACAGAAAATATCGATATTGTTATTGTTCAGTCGTTTTCAGTCAGGACCCCTTTTTGGATTTTCTTGGTAAAGATATTAGAGTGGTTTGCCATTTCCTTCTCCAACTCATTTTACAGATGAGGAAACTGAGGCAAACAGGGTTAAGTGACTTGCCCAGGGTCACACAGCTAGTAAGTGTCTGAGATTTCAACTCAAGTCTTCCTAACTCCAGGCCCAGCCTGGTGATCAATAAAGATCTATTTAAAAAAAGGAAGAAAGAAATACTTGTCTCCTTTCATTCATACTCATTCCCAGTCTTAAATCTCCACTATACCTACTACAGAATACTGATAAACAGCTATTATCTGAGACTTAAAGTGTCATCAAAAACATTAAAATTATTAATGAATGCTACCTACCTAGTAAGACTGTTGCAAGGAAAACACTTTACATAAACCTTAAAAGAAAATATCTAAGTTATTAGCAAGTATATTTTTCCTGGCTAACATTCTAAGACCTGTATCCCCTATAACAACATATTTTTCTAGTTGGAATAAAGTCCCTCTGGCCTAAACAAGCTAATTTGCCCATTTATCCCCTACTCAATTTGCCCATTTCTGCCTTCGGAAACTTTAATCCTTCCTCTCAAGTTATTCACAACCACTACCCCACTGAAAATCTAAGAAAACTTCCATTATTAAACCTACCTGAAGCTGGCTGCTCCTCTATTCTGTGTCCTCTTTGCACTTATGGTCTCAGTTTTTACTATATTACCACAAACAGTTGTTAACAGAAAATCTAGAGACCACTCTTCTAGAGCCACAGGCTCATAGAACCATCAACTGGTGAAGGGGATATCAGAAGTCCATACCCCTCATTTTACAGACCAGCTGAAAACTATAGAGGTTAAGTGACATCATCTGCCTAAGATCATACAGATAATAAATGACAGAACTGAGATGTGAACCCAGATCCTGTCATGCAAAATTCAGCAAGATTTCCACTGCACAGTGTTCTACCATTTAATTCAATGCCCCTGGACAAATCACTTTCTCTGGATCTCAGCATCCTCATTTGTAAAATGAGGTTGGACCAAATTACAGAGATCCTCCAACTCTATTATGTTATGTTCTCACATCTAATGTTCTAAACTTCTAGCTCTTGAATCATTCACTCTCATTAAGTGCTTACTCTACAAGGCACTGGGAATATAAAAATAAAAACTGGAAATCCCCAATTTCAACTTTACAATCTAAAAAGGATAAGATTTACGTACAATAAGCGTGACACAAGACTGAATATAATAAGAGCAAAGGAAAAGTCTAGGCAAAGTGCTAGAATATTTGACAATTTAAAAATTTCATGGACAAAGTGGCACCTGCATTGATCCTCAAAGGAACAGAAAGAGTCCAGAACCAAATACATGAAAACAGAGAATTACAGCATAAAAGACAGCCTGCACAAATGCAGAGAAGAGGGAGAAGGCAAGTTCAGTTTGTCTTGAAAGTAATATAAAACAAAGCTAGAAGAGAAAGTTGAAGCTAGATTGTAAAAAGGTTTTAAATATCAGAATAAGGAGTTTATATCTTTATCATACAGATAATAAGAAGCTAATCATTGATGGTTTTTCAACAAGGGAGTGACATGGTTAAACTTGCACAAAGATTATTTTGAGAGCATATGAAGGCTGGATTGGAAAGGGGAGAAATGGGAGGGAGGGAAAATAATTACCAAAGCTATTCCAATATCCCGGGCAAACAGGTAAGGAGAGTTTGAACTAAGCTGTCAGTAGTGTGAATGGTAATGACAAGAACTGATATTTTTGCACCTAGACAGTGTGTGAGAGAGAAAGCCAAAGATGATTCCAAGGTTTCAAGTCCAGATTTTCGGAAAGAGACTATTTATTCTATAGTTTAAATTCACACCTGTCAAATTGGCAAAAAATAATTTAAAATAGAAACTGTCACTATTAGAGGGGCTGTGAGAAGGGAGGTACATTAAGTACTGACTCTACAAGGCACAACTACTGTTGGTAGATTTATGAATTGGTCCAACAGTTCTAGAAAACAATTTAGAACCATATAATTGTGCTAAAAAAAATCATTAAACTGTTCATACCCTTTGACCCATCAATCATACTAGGCATATGTCCCGAGAAGGCCAATGACACAATTGAAAGTCCTATATATAATGAAACATTCAGAAAATGGAAATAAAGTGGATATAAAATCATTAGGGAAAAACTAAATGTATGATATGTGAACATAATAGAATATTATTCTGCACTTAGAACTATGCTCAAAAAGTTACTAAACAGTGTATACTCTAATCCAGTGACACCACTACTGGACTATACACCAAAAAGATCAAGGAAGAGAAGGTCAAATATGTACAAAAATATTTATAGCAGCTGCTCTTTATTTGGTGGAAAAGAACTAAGGTAGTACCCATCAATTGGGGAATGGCTGAACAAATTATGGTAATGTATAAGTGTTATGGCATACTACTATTCTATGAAAAACAATAAAGGGGTCAAATTTCAACGAAAGCTAGGAAGACTTGTTTGAACAGATGCGGACTAAAGTGAGCAAAAACAAAGGAATAATTTATACAATAAAAACAGCACTGTAAATACAATTTTGAAAGACCTAAAAACTTTGACTAATGGAATGATGAACCACAATTCCAGAGGACCCAAGATAAAACATGCTACCTACCTACTGTCAGAAGTGACGAACTTGAGGTGAAGACTGAAACATATTTTTTGGACATTATCAATGCAGGAATTAGTTTTGCTTGACTACGCATATCTGTTACAATGGTTTTGTTTTTCTTTTTTATTTTTTCCAATGGGGGTAGAAGAGAAAAAATAGATTTTATTAATTTTTTAATTAATTTTTTAAAATTACATGCTGAATTGCACTATATATTTAAAAAGAAAAGCAAGCTATAAATAACAGATTCACAGTTCCATATACAATTCTGTACTTCTGTTCCACAACGTAGATGGAAATGTTCATTTTAGTTGGTGTTCTGTTAAATTTGGAATATTAAAAGAAATGAAAATAATATTATTGAACCATAAGAAATAATGGATATAAAGAATTTAGACAAACTTGGGAAGATCTGTATGAACTAAAATAGAGTAAAGCAAAAAAGTACCAAGAGAACAACAGCTACAGTAAAGAAAAACAATACTAAATGACATCAGAATTCAGATTAATGTAATGGCTAATCTTGACTCCAAAGTCTGAAGATAAAACATACCTTCCTCCTCTCAGTAAAGAGGTGATGGAATCCAGGTGTGGAATGAGGCATATGCCGTCAAATATGGTCAACATGTTAATTTCTTTTCCTTAACTGTATTCCTTTGGTTATTACAGAGCGTTCTATTGTGAGGGGAGATGGAAACTGAGAAAAGGCCAGGTTGGGAAAAATGCAATCAATAAAACATTTTTTTTAAATAAATATTTAAGAGGTTAGTTAGGAGAGGCAATTTTTTGGGAAGTCAGTCAGTCAATACACAAGCACCTACTAAGTGCCAGGCACTGTGCTAAGCACTAAGGATAGAAAGAAATGCAAAAGACAGTCACTACCTTCAAGGAGCTCATAATCTAAAGGCAGAGAAAACAAGCAAATATGTACAAACTACATAAAGGAAAAATAAGAAATAATCAAAAAGGTATAGCACAAGAACAGAGTAGGTGTATCTATAGAAGATAAGATTTTAGTTGGGACTTGAAGAAAGCCAGGAAAGTCATTAGGCAGAGATAGGGAGGGAGAGCATTACAGGCATAAGGGACAGCTAGAGAAAATGCCCAGAGTTGAGAGATGGAGTGTCTTGTTTGTGGAACAGCCAGGAGGCCAGGGTCACTGGATCAAAGAGTATATATAGCAGTAGTGAAGGGCTTTGAATGCCAGGCAAAGGATTTTGTATTTGATTTTTATTTTGATTTGTAAACTGCAATTTTTGTAAATTGTAAATTTGTAAATTGATTTACATTTAGATTTAATGGGGGCAACAGGGAGACACTGGAGTTTACTGAACTGGGAGGAGATAGAGGAGTGACAAGGCTGGGCCTGCAATTTTAGGCAGGCAGACCCATCAACAGGCTATCGAAAAAGTCTATGCATGAGGTAATAATGACGGTCTACACCAGGGTAGTAGCAGTATCAAAAGAGCATAGGGGGTATATTTGAGAGATGCTGCAAAGGTGAAATTGACAACCCTTGGCAACAAATTGGATGGGGAGGGGGTAAGAAATAGTGAGGAGTTAAAGATGGATACCTAGGTTTCAAGCCTGAGGGATTGGGAGGATAGTGTTGCCCTCTATAGTAATAACAATTAACAATAATAATAATAATAGCAGTAATAGATAAAATTTATATAGTGCTTATTATGTGTGAAGCACCGTGCTAAGCAATTTATGATAATTATCTCATTTGATCCTCGCAACAACTTGGAAAGATAGGTACTATTATTATCCCCATATTACAGTTGAAGAAACTGAGACAAACAGGTTAAGTGACTTCCCCAGGTTACACAGCTAGTGTCTGAGGCTAGATTTGAACTCAGGTCTTCCCGATTACAGCCTAAGGCTCTATCCACTGCACCACCTAGCTGCCCCACATAACATGCAAGCACTATCTATTTTCAAAGAATCAGAATATGTCTAACACAAAAATTTTACTAAACATAACTTAATCTATCTTGCAACAAATCTGGTTCCAAGGAAGACTTTATAACTTGTAAATAAAGAATGCTCTGTCTTGGAATGTCCAATCTCTAAAAGAGTAATTGTTTTAGAATGTCAAATCTCTGAAAGGATAATCAACAGAAAACAACAGTTCTAGTTTTCCTATATTTCCTATTGTTTAAACTAAAAAAAAAACTCTAGATAATAAAAGCAGGTAAATATTGTTAAAGTATTTTTTTAAATCCTAAACTGGCAAGAACTAGCATTTTCAAAATTCTGTCCTTTCCTCTTCCCCTAACATTCTACATTAGTGCTTCATAACTATTATAAGGGAGATCCTGAGTTTTTAAAGGCTATAACATTTTGGAATAAACTCTTATAGGACCTACCAAACTGGAAACATGGGCCAGGCATGAACTGTATTCAAGGTACAAACTTGTTAACTTCAGAGAGGCTCATCACCCAAAGGGGCTAGTCACAAAGTGATTAAATTTTTAGGCAAGGGCAAATCATGAAAATTATGGCACGGATTAGTTTCAATCCACATTGGCAGAGAGAACGCCCAAATAAAATCACTGCCCTTTCAGGTACTGAAGCAAACATCTTTGTATTAACTTCAACTGGAAAGAAAACCTAACTTCATACTTTGGAAAAAGAATGGTATGAGACCTCATTTCGAAGCTCAAGAGACCTACTCAAAACTCCTTAATACTATCTTTCATTTGCTCCTCCTTCATTCTAATCTCTGATGAACTGCCCCCCCCAACACCAAGGCCAGATCCTCTAATTATATCCTTGGTCTCCTCCCCTCCAGTAAAATGTACCCACAATCATCTCCCCTCTCCCTAATCTTTAATCTCTAAACACTGGAATTCTACAAAATCCCCTGAATTCCTAGCTTCCTACAAAAATCCAGATCTTCCGTATTCTTAAAAAACTTCACCTGGACCTATCATCCTTTCAAATTATTCTTCAACATATCTTATCCCTTCTCCAGGCACACTCCTAAAAAAAGCTGTTTGCTCTTGATGCTTTCACTTCTTCTCCTCTCACTTCTCAGCCTTTTGTGTTCTGGATTCCCAATTAATCACTCAACTCAAAATTGTTCTTTCCAAAATTGCAAATACTATCTTAATTGACAAATCCAGGGGCCTTTTCTCAATTATCATCCCTCTTGACTTCTCTGCAGCATTTGACACAGCTGACCACCCTCCCACCCTAAATATTCTCCTTTCTGGGTTTTTCTGATATTGTTCTTGCTTGGATCTCCTTTTACCTGTTTCCTTCTTCTCAGTCTCCTTTACTGATCAATATAATATCACACTGTGAGTTTAACCCAAGGCTCCATACTGGGCCCTTTTATCTTGTCTCTGTTTATTCTCAATGACTTCATCAGCTTCCATGGGTTATCATCTCTATGCACCATAGTACAATGGAAAGAGTACTGGTTCTGAAGTCAAAAGCTCCATGGTTCAAATCACACCGCTCTGGGCCCCAATTTCCTCATATGTAAAACAAAGGAGTTGTTGAACTAGTTATCCACTCCCCTTCCTAAATTTCCTATTTCTGTTGAGGACATCCCCACCTTTACTGTCACACAGATTTGTAACTTCAGTCATTTTCTGCTTCTCAATCTCTTACCTCACATATACAGTCAGTCTTATCAATTCTACTTCCTTATCTCTCATATCAGTTCCATTCTCTTCACTCATACAGCCACCAACATTGTTAAGCCCTCATCACCTCTCACAAGGTCTACTGTAATAGTTTAATTGATCTCCACAGCTTGAGTCTTTCTTCCACATAGATGCCAAAATGATATACCTAAAGCACAGGCCAAACCAAATCATTCCCTTTTCTCAAACTCTAGTGGCTTCAATGAAGCTGTAGGATCAAATGCAAATTCCTTTGTTTGACATTTAACGCTCTTTACAACTCGACTTCAAGCCCACCTTTCCAGCTTTATTATACATTACTCACCCTCCACATGTTCTGCAGTCAACCAAACTGGCCTGTCTCCATCTGTGCATATGTATATGCATATGTATGTGTATGTCTATGTATATATACAAACATATTTTGCACAGGATGTCTCTTCACCATGCCTAGAATGCCCTCTGTCCTTGACCTTACTTCAGCCTCTTAGAATTCCTGGTTTCCTTCAAAGCTAAGCTCAAATACCACCCACTGTTAGAAGGCTTCATTGATCTCCAATCCCAAGACTGTTACTGCCTCCCTCCCAAAATATATTTTATATATGCTTAGTTTACATATATCTGTATGCCTACATAGTGTCTTCCCTTTACAGAATGTATAGATCTTGAAAACAGGAATTATTTCATCCACGTCTTTGTACCCCTTGCACTTAGCACTATACCTGATACAAATCAAGCCTTTAATAAATGCTTAGCTTATTGACTGACTTATTTATTGTCATAGGGAAGTATAACCTATCTCATACACTGGCACTTTCAAAAACACAAATAGGATTAACAAAAGAGCCAGATGATAACATTCCAGTTGGTCAAATTCATTGTCAATGAACTTATTATACATCTCTTTTCCTTTGGAGAGGGGCTGGAAATTGACAGCCACAGATTTCTCTATTTGTTAGAAGTAGCTTCTAAATATCTTTTTTCATCAAACCAGGACTGATGACAGCTCAAATTTATAAAGCACTTTTCTTACAAAGAGATCCTATAAACTAATCTGTTTAAGTATTATTAGTCAACCAATCAACAACTATTTAATAATCACCTGGTACTAGTACCTCCTCCAATGACAGGTACTGTGCTAGACACTGGAGATGGAAGAATAATGAAAAAATAATCTCTTCTGATAAGAAGCCTACATTCTACTAGAAAAGATAGCAACTAATATGTCAATATATACTGCATAAATATAAATACAAACATATCCATAGTATTCTACTACAAAGTAGTTTGGGAGGGAAGTTGGTAGTAGTTGGAGGGATCAGGAAAGGCTTTATGTAGAAGTCAATGATTAAGCTGCTAATGGGACATTTCCCACAAGCATCTCAAATGCAAAATGTCCAAAAAAAATGCAATGGATTCTCTGCAGCAGAGGTGAGAAAGGAGTGCATTCCAGGCATATGGGACACATAGAGTAAAGGCACAAAAACAGGATGAAGGATATGTGAGGAACAGAGAGGCCAGTTTGGCTAGATTAAAGAGTACAGGGAGGAGGAGTAAAATCCAATGAGGCTAGAAAGAAGTTTGTGACCAGGTTGTGAAGGGATTCAAAAGCTAAACAAAGCTTACGTTTTAGCCTAGAGGTAAAAGGGAGTCACTAAAATTGATTGGCCAGGAGAATGACTTCAGATCTGTGCCTAAAGAAAATCACTTACTCAATAAGCATTTATTAAGCACCTATTACTATGTGTCAGGCATTGTGTTAAATGCCGGGGATACAAAGAAAGGCCAAAGACAGTCATTATCTCAAAAATTCACAATCTAATGGCACAGATAACAAGCAAACAAAACTGTACTATTAACCTCTATAAAGGACAAACAGTAAATAAGAGAGGGAAGGCACTAGAATTAAGAAGGAATAAGAAAGGCTTCCCAAGGATCCACATGTACAAAAATATTTATAGCAGTTCTTTTCATGGTGGCAAAGAATTGGAAATTGAGGGGGTGCCCATC